CTCCACAATATAGTATATGCACCTATACAAACAAATGTATAACATCAACCTTATCACTTACAAGTTAGAAATCACTAACGTGATTTTGCATTTCTTTTCCCCAAAGCACTGTAACCACATTAATATGTAATGTGGGCTCATTTCCATAATTGTAAGGCACTATCATGTAATATGGATTAAAATTTTTCTAATTATATTCTGGCTTGATGGTGTATTAAAATAAGTTCTTGTTTTCGGTATATACAGACACCAGAAGATTTCATTGACATGATCAGCATATAAACACACTAAGTCTTCCATTATAAGCAGTTATGGGAAACGCTTTGTTATGAAAGATCTGTGTAGGTTCTCATAAGTATCATAACCAGCCAATCTCCCAGCTTACATTTTGACACATTTCTTACTAGTTGTGTGACCTTTGGTGTGCTCCTTATCTTTTTCTTGCCCAAGGTTTATCACTTGTTAAATGGAGTGATAAGATTATTGTCAGTAATAAGTTAACATATGTGAAGTGCTCAACATGTATTAGCTGTTACTACTATTACCACTACAGTGTTTTGGTAATTATTTTTTTCCATTTCATTTTCTTCCATACATTCAATCACATTATTATTTGTCTTACAAAATGGATATTTCAACAGGTGAACATTTCTCCCTAGTTCTATTGATAAAACTACGAAATATCTTCAACAGATAACACCACACCTCTTTGTGCCATTAATGCCTTACTTCCATCCCTTTGTTGTATCTTCTATGACATAAACATGGGTTCTATAAATGTGGAAAAGAGCAGTAGCAAAAATTTCATCATAATAATGCTAGGATTGACTCAAATTCATCCTGAATTTCCAAAATAGAACTCGATTCCTTTTCATCATATCAATGCAAGTTAATGCTATATAAAATCTGGAGAGTTTTAGAACAAAAAGAAATATAACCTAGTATGCATGTACCAATAATGGAATCATTTTATCTTTTTCCTTTTTTACTTCTAGTAAATAACATGAGATTTAGTAAATAGGAACTGTTTGAAATCTAGCTTTGCGTCTTATTAAACATGAAACCTAAAGAGAATTAGTTAATTCCCTGAACCTTTTTTCTAAGTAACATAAGGCTGGTAATAACACTTTTTATTGCAGTGCACTTCCAAGCCTCTGCCAATGTCACTTGGATTCTGTGACCTCTTGTTCCTGGGCTGGGATTATTTTGGTCCTCTATCCTCTAGTATAGTAATTTTCCACACCGTTTGTTTCCTTATTTGTCTCCCCCAGTAGATTGTATGTCCATGGGTGAGTGCATCTCTGTCTTGTTCTCGTTTGCAGCATCCATGCCAGAGCATAGATGATGCTCAATTAAATCCTCAGCCCATGAGAAATCATTCACAATAGCCATCTAACTTGGTCTCACTCTATTGCTAACTTTATTCAAATGATGTAGAGGATGGTAGTATCTAAATCAAAGAACCTCATTGCATTTAATCCTGAAAATTTGGCCACTATCTGGCTCCATGTGACTAGAGTCCTTCAAAAAAATGAGTAGGCAAGACAGTATTGTCTAGGTGTAGTTATTGCACTATGATCACTTTATCTTCTTTGTATATTTTATGAATTGGAAAATGACAGGAATGTCATACATCAACATTGGGGATCCTTTGAGGCTAAGTACATCATTTTTAAAGTTTTATGGTCTTTAGGCGCATTGTCAAAGATAGGTGCTCATCCCTCTCATTTCATTCTGTCTAGCCTAATAGCATTTCTGCCCTTTAGAAATGTAATTATGTGGAGACTAATTAGTGGGCTATTGCAGTTACTCAGGTGACAGGAGAGATAAAGAGGGTTCTGACAGAGCTATAAAGATGAACCTTTGAGGGGCAGAATAAAGAGACTTAGAAAATAAGAGTCAGTGGGCTTTGGAGACTTTACACAACATGGAATTGAGAGGAAAATGAAGACACAAGAGTAATAAGCTGGTTTTTGATTTAACAACTAAAGTATTTGATGGTGTTAATTACTAGAGGTTATTTTTCTTCGTTTAGTTTTGTTTATCTTATTTATTTATTTCTGAGTGGATGTTATGGATTTTAATTATTTTTAATGGCCAAAGGACACATGTGCTCACCAAAGACAGGTAGACAGAGGGATAACACACCCCCAGTGGGACATAGCCTTGCTGCAGTCCTCTCTCCTCCATTCCTCTAAACCATCAGGATTTGTGGAACGCATGCACATGTGCCTGACATATTTTTAAGGTGCTGGGTCCAAGGTTCAAACTGTACTCAGCCACATGGGGTCTGGCTTCCTTCACTACTGGGAATAGAGCTGACCCTGTTACCAAATTCTGTATGTGCAGTTTTTTTTTTTTAAATTTTTTTATACATTCAATCACTGAATTATCATTACAGCATGTAAAATGAATTTTCCAGCATCAATACCCTGTATGTTAGTCCAGTTAAAGATACTATCGTGTATGTTATCAACAACAGATAGTTTTCCATTTTGTATCCCTTAAATGTTGGGCCTCTTTCTTTTTCCCCTTGATTCCTTTTCTTTCATGCTCCCCCTTTTCCTACCCTCCTCCCACAATGTCTCTAGTATCCAGAGTTGTTTTCCATACTTTTGTGTCTTCTTCCACTTTCTTTTTTTAAAAATAATTATTTATTTAACTTTATTTATTTATTTATTTATTTAGTTAGTTACAAGCCACCAGGTCTAAGACTTGAACTGCAGTTGGTCATGTGGAAATCTAGCACCCTTAACCACCACACCATCTGCTGGCCCCTAATTTTTCAGTTTCTGCCATAGAATGCAGACATATGGTATATACTGAGTAAGGACATACAATGCCTCTCTTTCATAGTCTGGCTTGCTTCACTTAGCAATAAATCTGCCATATTTGTCCACTTTCTGTCAAGTATCAGGGTCTCGTTTAGTTTTATGGGTGAGTGGTATTCCATAGTGTATATTTGCTATACATTTTCAATCCATTCATCTGTTCATGGACATTCGGGTTGGTTTCATGTCTTAGCAATTGTGAATAATGTCACAATAAACATAGAGGTACAGGTACTCTTCTGACTGAATGTATTCCTGTCTTTTGCTTACATACCCAGGAGTCTAATTGCTGGTTCATGTGGTAGTTCTATTTGTAGGTCTTTGAGGAACCTCCGTATTGTTCTCCACAGTGACTGTACTAATTTACATCCCCACCAACAGTGTAGGAGAGTTCCCTTTTCACCACAGCCTCGCCAGCACTTATCATTTGTTTATTTACTTTTTTTTAATCTTAGCCATTTTGACTGGGGTTAGGTGGTATCTCATTGTGATTTTCATTTAAGGGAAGAGACCAAGACAAAATTCTGTGAAACACCAACTTCTTTAAAGGAGTATATGAATGATGAGGCACTTTCTTCATTCTGGGTAGGGTGGTCTCAAGAGTATAAGCGAGCTAGGAGAGGCTTGAGTACCTAATCCCAATAAAGTCAGAGTTTCAGGAAGGAAGATGAATTCAGTAGTCTCACGTGCTATAGTTGAGAGGACATCATACAAGGGCACTGTTTTGTTAGGTCACACCTTAGAAATTGGATGTAGGGGTAAATGGGGCCCGAGGCATTAGACATATGCACACATGCATATGTACCAGGAGTGTTTCTCAAGCCCCTGTGACTGGGATTTGAACCAAGGTTGCCTATGTGGGATATGACACCATTAACCACTAGGCTTTCGTGGGTCAGACCAACAGCAGATAATTTATATCATCAAATTAACTGTGACTTCAAAAAATTTTTTATAGAAATATACAGTAAGCAACCTCAATGTATTTGGGAAATTTTTGATGAATATAAATGACTATTTTAGCAAATATCAGGAATAATGAGGCTGATAACATATCCAGTTGACACAAGTGAGCATTCTTTAATTTCAAAATGATTTTATTCAAACATTTTTTCAAGATGCTCATTAAAAATAAGCTATTTTCAAATACTCAACAATTTTTTTTTTTTTAAGTAGCCTTCTCTTTTTCTCAGACATCATTTTACCAGCCTTTCAAAAACCTCAACAGCTGTCAAATTGAATCTGCAATTTGAGGTGATAACAGCAGTACTCAGCCCTGGTAGATTTGCCGAAAGTCTGTAAGATACTTACTGATTACAAGAAAATGGGATAGGCCAAAGAGCCCTCTTTAAGAGCTTTTTGAACTTAGTTCAATTCCCTGACACCTTATTTTCATAGACCTGATTGCAATTGCTTTTCATTTCGGTCATGAGGGTGCGGTGTGGAATAGATGTGATATTATATGCGGCTGCATATAATATACTTAAGGAGCGTCTTAGAGAGGCCCACAGAGTCATAGGGTCTGTTTCATAGCTGCAAACTGCAATTTGCACAGTGTTCTGAAATTCAAGCTTATTTGACTAAATCCAAACAGCAAGAAAGTAGCAATATGGAGTCTTCAATCTTTTTCTTTGTTCCTTTATAGCATCTGATTAAGTTCTGACTCTCTTCCCCCCCACCCACCGCTACTGACCCTTTTTACCTATTGCCTTTCACATAGTCATGGATTAGTATTTCTCAGGCAACACTTCTAGTGAGAGGCAGCTCATGTTTCATGTTTCCATATATATTTCTGTACCTTAGACAAGTTTATTTTCTGAAGTGATGAGAAAGGAGGCACGCTCCAAAAAGAAAGTGGTTAGTAATTCTAGTGGGACAGAAAAGATGGCTAGAAAGGGGAAAGTTCAATGGTGGTAAAAGGTTTTTTTGAAAGTATTTAATTCTTTATAATATAACATAAACATTACTGATACCCATCCAGTATTACCTATCCAGTATTTTCCCTCCTGAGGAATAATTTCCTTCTATTTAGAATTTATTTTTATAGTACCAGGTCAGAATTTTTATTGGACTGTTAACCATTTTTATTTTTGGAATATAAAATACAAATTTGTGGTTTTATGTATAGTAATGCCATCCTGTCTCCAAATTTCTGTTTTCCTCATGCAGAGGGTTACTTCTACAGGAGAACAGCAGGTTTACAGAAGCACTACATTATTATAAATTGGCCATTGGGAGCAGGCCTACCCTGGCTTGTAAGTAATATTCAGGTCTTTCTTAAAATTTTTTTAAATACCTCTTTTCATGGTGCAAATTGTCTTGTTAACTTACAGCCTCACACACAGAAAACAACAGTGACACTTGTATACCTATTTCTAACACTTGCTATTTACATTATGAAACTCCAAAAATTATATTCTCTCAAATTCCTATTATGATTTCCATTTATCATTTTTAAAAACATTACCATAGCAATAGCATTTATCCAGGTAGGTTTTAAACTAAAAAATATTTGGAGTTTCTCGAGGACAGATACAGTTTCATCTATTTTTCAGTGATGCCTGCACTTCTCTCTACTGTTATTAATCCTGGAAGTATTTGTTCCATTAGTATTTATTTCTTGGTTTTCTGTAACATGAGATATAATCCAAAGAAAATGAAGTGAAACAAAAATACATTTATTTATTCACAATGTATATTGATTTCTTCTTCTTAGACTTCTCTTTCTATGTTTTTCCCTCAGCTGCATATTTAAATACTGGTATTATTCTAATGAACCAAGGGAAGACAGAGGAAGCCCGGCGAACATTCCTAAAGTGTTCTGAGATCCCGGACGAAAACCTGAAGGACCCTCATGCACACAAGAGCTCTGTTACCAGCTGTCTGTACAACCTGGGGAAACTCTATCATGAACAGGGACACTATGAGGTCTGACCCAAACTTCTCTATCCTTTCTTTCCCTTCTCATTTGTTTGGATCCAGTCTCCGTGTTTTCCAACCCACAGCCCCTTGTAGGACCACTACTGTCCTTTGAGACACTAATGCATGTTCACATTTGGTGATGGTTTTGTGGAGCCATTTTCATGACATAATGGTGATGGACTGTTAGAGACAAGTCATATCCTACATGAAGACCTTAGTGGGAATTCCCAGCTCGATTGACCTGGAACATGCCAGGCATGCATGCAGGTGTCCAAGAGTTGATGGACAGGAGGACCAGAAGAAGGGAATTACAGTGTGACAAGTCCCTGTAGAGGATGGTTCTCTCTCCTTTTCTCTCATGTGTGTGCACTCATTTTGTCATGAATAATAGAAAAAAAGAATGTTTTTGTAATCAAAATAATTTGAAAATAAAACTTCTGCTAAAGAAAAAATTAGCAGACTGTTTTTCCGTGCTAGTTTCTCAAAGGAATTATATGTCGATATGTATTGTGACTATTCAAGAAAGGGTAATAATATGTATTATTAATAGCTCTCAAACTTATTTGCCTAAAAGTTCTTTTATTTTATGTTCCAGGACATAATTTATAGACTTTTATTGATTTTAAAAGATAGGACTTTTAAAATAATTACAAGGAATCATTTTGTGATTAGGCCTAGCCACTATAGCATACACTGGTTGATGCTGCCACTGAGCAGGCTGAGGCTCCGTGGGAGTTCCAGGTTCAATCATTGGCCTACCTTAAAAGCTGGCTTCAGTGGTGTAGGCCTGTGGTTCTAATGAACGGGAAGGCTGACAGTGCCTGCCTGAAGGAGCCAGTAAATGATGGCTATACACCTGTGATACCGGTTGCTCAGAAAGCTGAAGCAAGAGTATTGTAACAACTCAACAATTGAAAATAAATAAATAAATAAATAAATAAATAAAGACAATAATTTCAGTGAGCCTTAGCAGCTGGAAAAAAAGTTTCTTCTGATATTTTATTTAGATCTCTCTGAATTGCCTTATTTAAAGTAACTATGCCATAGAGTACAGACATTTGGTATATACTGAGTGGGTCTGTACCCTCTTTGTCTTTTATAGTCTGGCTAACTTTATGGCAGAAATGAGAAGGTTTTAGACATAATAGTAGAGAGGTCAAGTGTAGATACTAGATATGGTATGGTATGAGTGGGAGGGACTCAGGAGAAAAAGGACTTAACAGACACAAGAATATAAGGTTCTTTGTTGAAAATGATGTATATGGTAACATCCTTGACTTGATTATCACACACTGCACACACGCTTTCAACAGTCACATTGTATGCTCTAAAGACGTATAGTAACTAAATGTAAATAAGAAATTATAAAATAAAAATTATGTAAAATAAATAATAATTTGAACTTTATATGACTAATGAATAACTTCCAACTATGACTTTCTTTTGTTTTTTTTTTTAATTGAGTAATTTGTGTGAATGGGAAAGTTAATATTAAAAGAGCACTGCTAACATCGACTCCTTGTTAACCTACAGTATTCTTCACTGACTTCACGTCATTCGTGAAATTGAGGTAGTGTGCTGACCAAGGACAGCCCATTTATTTTCTTCTAATGAAACATGTAGAAATAGCAGTGGAGATTTTTACTTGGGAAGAATGTTGTTATCTTATTTTCAGCGAATATCTCTATACTTAAGATTTATTTCTAATTTTCTTATTTTTCTTAAATTAGGATGCTCTTGGTGTATACAAGGAAGCAATTCAGAAAATGCCAAGGCAGTTTGCCCCACAGAGCTTGTACAACATGATGGGTAAGTTAAACATTAATATTTTAATTGATGTTTTAGGGAACTGTGGAGAAATTAAAACCTGTGCTTGTGTTCAATACACTTCTAATAAATTATTATTATTCCTCACATAGAAACCTTGCTCACAATTGGGTATTAGATTCAAATTTTCTTAGAATATACTTGTTCTGACATTACCAAATAAATGCATTAACATATTGATTCCCAACCAGTAGGCCAGATTCCAGAATATTGGCAAGGGATTCTCAAAATCATTTTCATATCAAATATTAGCTAGACTCTAGAGCTCAGAAAGTAATATCTTGTGCATAAGTGCAATTTAAAAATTGTGTTTAGAGATGGATAATGTATATATACATTATAATGAATCTATCAAAGTCATGATCGGTGTTCATCATGTTATTTATATTCCTAATCAGAAGATTCTTTAAAGCTGGGCCAGCAGGTGGCATGCTGCTTAAGACACTGGATCTCACATGGCTACTCCATGGTTTGAGTCCTGGACCTGGTGGCATGCTGGGCATGTGTGTATATGTACCTAAAATCCTGAAAGATGACTGGTGGAGAAGGGATGGCATCATGGTCATCCCTCCTGTAGTGTGTTTTTTTCACTTTCCCTCTCTCTATCTGTCTCTCTTCATGAACACATGTGCTCTATGAAAAAATCTAAAAAAAATGTAAAGATGCTGTTATACAGTGATTCATGAACTTTTATACTTATAAAAGATGAATACTGGAGCCAGCCCATGTGTGCTTTTATGATGATCAGGCCTTAAATCTCAGCAGGTTTTTTTTCTTTCTTTCATCCTTTTTTTTTCCCTAAGAGTTTTTTACCTTAGGGCTTGTGCGCTCACCAGAGAGAGAGAGAGAGAGAGAGAGAGAGCACGCGAGCGACCGAGCAAGACAGAGACAGTGAGAAAGAGTGAGAAATTACCCCTTAGAGGGGATGGCTACACCATAATCCCTTTTCTATTCTCCTCCCAGGATCTTGGGCTTGCACCCATGAGCCCAGTGTGATTTTTAAGCCACCAGTCCAGAACTCAAACAGTGGTTGGCCACGTGGGAGACCAGCAATGTAACTGTTTGGCCCTCTGCTGGCCCCTCAGCAGAATTTTTCAGAGTAATATTCTAAATAACAACAAGACTCTGAAGACTATAAATGAACTATCACAGTTATTCTTTTTCTACATTAAAGAATTAGCCTAGTTATCTTAGGAATAATATAAATCTAAAGCATGGATTTTATTCTAGGTACAAGGAGTCAGGGATGAGAAATCTGAAGCTAGACGGTGACACAGTGGTAGCTCAGTGCTCTGCAATGATGTACCCATGCGGGACGTCCCAGGTTTGCTCTGGGCCTCCTTGTTCGTGCTGGAGAATGTGTGCACATCCCTGTGATCCTGGCTGGCCAAGGCTGTGTATGGATCATGTCATGGAGATTCCATTGGAAGTGCCTATTTCTTTCTCTTTACCTACTGCACCCACTCTCTTTCATTCTCTCATGGAAGAAGTAAATAAACTTCTGAAAAGAGATACAAGAATTTTCATAAATATCCACCTATTACTTGTTTTTGATACCTAGCTGCCTTGTAGGAAATCGTTACCACAGCTTTTGGGTGGTAGATACAACTGAAAACTATCTATTCAACATGCAACTCTTGGGGGGGAAATTCCCCAAAGTTTAAGATAGTTGATTAACATTGCTGTTCCCAGATAACTGAAAAAAGAGTAATGGTTGCCTTTGTCCTCAAATATTTTTTTGTCTGAAATACAGATTGGTCAAATTTTTCCTATTCTGTTAAACCTGGATAAGTTGTTTACTGTTTCTAGGCCTTCCTCATATATTTAAACAAATGAGATAAAATTACATGCTCTTTAGGATTATTTTATGCTTCTGTATTCTATGATCTGAGAAATTTGATAGTAGCTCATTATCTTGAGAATATATACAAAAAATCCAAATCTCCTCAAGCTAGAAAATATACATCTGGTAGGAGCACTCATGTTCTCTTTTTTTAAAATGACAGAAAATTTAGAAAGCGTTCACAGAGTGAATGTGACACGAGTCTGTAAACAGAAAATAAAATTACTTGGAAGAGGTTAATATAGTCATTTCATGTATATGGAAATTCCACCCCTAGTTTGCCTATGCAGCAGAAAAGTGATTTAATGTTCATGTTAAACAGGACACTAGAGTGTTTTCTAATTGTTTTTTTTTCCTCTTTGATATAATTACTAAAAATTAAATCTTGTTTTCATTAAATGTACCTATCTCAATTTTCCTCAGCTCTCCAATAAGACATCGTTCATTAAATTAGGATAGGACTCTGAGATTCTTCTCGACAGACTGCATGTGGTGTTTTCCTTGTTAATGGGAAGTGGTGGCATTCATTATAATTAGTAATTTCAGAAAATTCATTCAATTATTTTATGTAAATAAATTTGATTGAAAATTCATCTGGTACCTTGGGATCTGTGATTATTCAAATGCTGAGCACACACAGGCGGCAAAAGATGAGTATGTCCTTAGGGGGTAGTCCTTTATCCTTTGTCTTATTTTCCATTATAGAAAGAGGTGTCTGCTTTGTTGAGACACTGAAATGTACCCTAGCAATTTTTTGCAGGGAGGATCCTAATGTCAGTTAAAATTCCAGATTTCTTCTATAATTATGGTGGCTGCCTCCTGTTTAATTTTATGTGAAGGTCCATCAGCCGATGAGGTTTTATGGTTTCAGTTGTTCAGGAAACTATAATTTTCTCAGGGAGTGAGTTCACCTCCTAATCAAATGGGTTAAATCCCCCGAGTGTTTGCTTAAACTCCTAATACATTTTGATTAGCCTCCATTTGACAAGAAAAAAAAATGGACTAGGAGATAAGCTGGCCTATCAGTTCATCAGTTTCATTAGTCTGTCAGCATGTGCTGATTATCCTATCAAGTGTATCAACAGCCTTGAATGTGTTTTCTCATTCTCACATTTACATATTATTAGTGCCCTTTAGGGATCAGTGATGGATTGTAATGTCTGGCTAGATTTCTCCTGAAAGTATTAATTTTCCTCATGTCTAATTCATTTACCCCTTTACTACCACTACCCCCAGTGCATATATGTCTTAGTAAAAACACTGTTTTGGTTTTTTTTCCACATTCTATTTTTTTTCTTTTTTTTGGAGGTCAGGAGAAATAAAGGAATATATAGTCAGAAAATACAATTGAATTTGACTGTTATTAGTTTAATACATAAATTCACTGCAGTTGCTTTGAAAAACAAAAAAACACACTCTAATTCTTTGCTGCCCTGCCTCCCTCCATGAACATTTTATGAATGTCTTAAGTGACTGGGTGCAATATGCCAGTTGATAGATACTGAACATCAGATGAATACATTTTCCCCATTTCTGTATTAGTAGGAAATAACAAGTTTGATTAAATTACTTCTTAAAATTTTCCATGTTTTGTTGTATTTCTTAATTTTTTTCTTTTCTTTTTAAATGTCCTATAGGGCATTTGTGCTTGCTTGACACAGAGAGAAAATACCTCTCAGGGAGGATGACCACACTGGAATCCCTTCTCCTTCTCCTCTTAGGATTTTGGACATGCATCCATACATGCCCAGTATGTTTTTTTAAGCTGGTGCTTGAACCACATACTCAGCCATATGGGATCTAGCCACATTAATCACAACACCATTTCCTGTTTCTTCATATTTTATTTTAAGACTGTTATTTTTTTATTCTTTTAAAAATAATTATTTAACTTGATTAATTAATAAATTTATTAATTATTTTTAAAAATTTGACCAGAGAGGGACAGAGTGAGAAAGAAAGAAAGTAAGAAAGTCACCAGCTCTGGGACTTGAACCACTGTTGGCCATGTGGGAGTCCAGTACCCTTAACCACCACGCCACCTGCCGGCCTCCAAGATTGCTAGTTTTATTATGGCAGTTTATAAGTACTTGAAAAAAATTATTTAAAAATTGTATTCTCTTCCTTCTCTTTGGTTTCACAGGACTAAGATGTTTGAGTAACAGTAATTGAAGAACATATTCTCATCCAGATTAGGTGAATTAGAAACAAACAGAAAAAAACATAAACTAGAAAACTAAATATTATGTCATAAACAAAAATTAAACTTTCACCTGCATTGTTGTAAGTAGTAAGGTATGAGAAAATATGACATATTAAGACACCAGGTTTCATAATAGCATTGAAATTACTCCTAGCCAGTTATGTGTCTTCAATTCTGTGAGCCTCAGTATCTTCTTGAGAGAACAGTTTGGATTATGGAGATAATGTGGTATCTGAAGGCAGCCTGGGCTGCATTCATGGCTTTGACACTTACCAGTTGAGCATCCTTAGGTAAATTACTTAAGCTTGTTTCCCCATCTATAAGATGTCTGTAATGGTAGTATCCATTTAAAGGTAATCATAGTGGCCCCAATGCCCAACTTGGGAAGTGTTTTGACCTTCCATGGTTATCATCATTTTTGGGATTTTAAACTCCAAAATTCAGTGATTGTATATTCTGTCAGTTCTCTGTGTATTTAGTAATGTAAGTATGAACACTCCAGAGATAAGATTTTTCCCATAATAGTGGCCTTGCTGTCACCGAAGTTCAGTAGGAATTCTATTTAGATTTTTCCTGTCTGGAATTGCTGTATTTTCTTCCCAAGTCCTTTTAAATTTCTCTCTCAGCAACCACAGTTAAACTCTTATCACTAGCTCTATTAAATAACAGTAAAACAGCATCCTCAGTTAATGCTAATATACTTAATTCTTTTAAAAGAGTGCTCTCTCTGAATTAAAATTGTCATGTTTAGGTTGAAATTTCTCCTTTTTCTGTCATGTATTTTCCCTATAAACTTTGTCAAAATTCTTTTTATTTTTCCTTAAGTTTATTTTTTTCTTCAGTGAGAGAGAAAGAGAGGCATTCCGAACAGTCTTCATGGCACAATCCACTCTAGCCTAGCCTTAGCCAGCCAGGATCAGGACCTTATGCATTCAC